GGGCCCGGGCCGCCGAGCCGGGGCCGGGGCAGTGTTGCTCCGCAGGTGTGCTCCGACGAACTGTGCCTCAGGCACGACCTGGGTTGGTGCACGAAAAGGCTTGCTGTTTCCAATTAATCAGTCTCTTTTTAAGGAAAAGGATGGTTTTATTTCAGATGGGAAATGTGGGGTGGGGGCCGCCACAGCAAACGCGATGCAGCAGCTTGCCAAGGAGGATAAACACAAGAATGGTGTCCAGAGACTTGTCAGGAGACCGAGTAAACTCTGATTCCCCGGGCGTTGCGGGGGACTTCCTGGGTGTGTTTCCGAGTTCTCTGGTGAATCACGGCTGGGTGCGCTTTCCAGGCCAGGTTCTCGGGCTGGGGGCTGAGGATGGAGTTTCCAAAAGCCGTTGAATTACTGGAGATGGTTTTTGCAGAGGCTTTGTGCTCCTTTTTAAGAACAGACTTCAGAGATCTGTGCTGCCTTTTCCCCCAGGCTAAAGGACCGTGGGGTGAATGTTCCTATGTTCTGCTGAAAAACAAGGGCTGAGGGGCAGCAGTTGGTTGAGGGAATCGGAACGTCTGGCTGCAGTTTTCAGAAATTATTGTAATTTCTTAATGTTATTCAAAGAAGTGGAACTTCATGTGTGTTCATCTGTCAGCAGGTTACACCAGGGAACACCCTCATGTCACTTCTCTGGTTTTGAGCCGACCGACACTACAGAGTTCTTACTTGAATACTTGTGCTCAAATGGGAGGGAAAACAGGATTTGAAATGTTACTTCCAGTACTCCGTGTGTATCTAAGAGGAGTTTTGATTTGCTAAGTAAGGTGTAACTTGAAGGTGGTATGTAAAGCATACCAGTTGTTCTCTAGTGGATACTTGTTAGTTTAAAAAAACTAGGCAGTAAGAGCCAATTTGAAATCACTATTTGATTTTAGTTCTTAAGGGAGTGTCTGTGAAAACCTGGGAATTGTCTCCATTTTGAGGTCATCAGTCGCATGGGACCAAGCTTCTGTCTCACAGAACATTTTAGTCAAAGGTCAGAGTCCACGAGTGCTAAATACTGAGTGGAACTAATTTGCTTAGTTCTAGAGCTGTTACTGTAAAGTAGCCACGTTGCTCTCCCTGTGTTTGCCTGGGAGGAGCAGGGAGGCGGCTAAGCGCCGGAGTTGGGCGCGTGGTTAATGTGTTACAGAGGATCAGACTGAACCTGGGGTTACTGATACTGGTTCCGCTGAGCTCCCCGTGGGTGAGCGTCGGAGCATTGCTGTGAGCTCGTCTCACAGGCAGGGGGTGTGGGCTGCCGGGCGGGTCCTTCGAGCTCCCCGTGGGTGAGCGTCGGAGCATTGCTGTGAGCTCGTCTCACAGGCAGGGGTTGTGGGCTGCAGTGTGATCCTTCCCCTTGGTGACAGGCTGCTGCACAGGCACAGCTTAAACGCCTCCTTTTGGCTGTTCCTGGGTGTCATGCAACGCTTGCCGTGACGTGTAGGAGCAGTGCACATGACATGTAGGAGCAGTGCACATGCAAGCGCGTGTGCTTCCCATTACGGAGTTCTGCAGTTGCTGTGGTGCTGTGTTCCACCGGGAATGGGAATGTCATTCAGCAGGGATTCTGCTCCCTTGTGGCTAGTGGGAGAGGATGCTAGCTTTTGGGTTTAAATGGCTCCAGGCGTCAGATTGCCGTGCACCGTGCAGGCGTTACGGGGTCTGAGCTAGCCATGCCGAGACTCCCTAGTGCCAGTGCTTCTGCACTTGGCAGAACTCCAGAATGTACGTTTTATTCAGACAGTAATTTAGTAAATCACGACTACTGCTACAGATAAATGTTGCACGTGTCAAGGGTAGAAATGCGATGTTCCGCAGAGTTTACATTTCCCACCAGAAGGTGTTTTCCCTGCCCGCGTGGCTCGTGCTCGGGGGCTGGCGAGGTACGGGGGAAGGCACTTGGCCAGCGACTCCTCTCCCACGGTAGCACAGGCTGCAGAAGCACAACAATTACTGGTTCTGGAATACCTACTCTGTTAGCGAATTGTCAGTGATTTTTTTGGTTGCGTTGGCTGGATTATGGTACGGGTGGTGTTCCTGCACAGCCCTTTCCCTTCCTGCTTCCATGCTGAAGGTCAACCCCTGCTGTGGGAGTTGTGCTCTTGGTCTGCACAGTCACTGGGGCCAGTGTGCAGGCACCGGGCGCTACCGGTCGTGGCACAGAAGGGCCTCCCTGCCTTCTGAATTTCCACCCTGACTGGAGAATGTGGGACACTCAGCTTTAGTTTAAAATCTATTTAAATAGTGCTTTTGAGTATCTCTGTTTGCTGGGAAGGTTTGCTGGGAACACAGGAGGCCACGGTTCACCTCTCGCACAGCTCGCTAGAGCGATCCAGGTACAGTGACATGGAGGCAGATGGAGAAAACTACTATGGAAAGCATGGTAATTCACCCTCTTTCTTCTGACAACTGGTCTAAATCTCATTTATTTCAGCTGAGTCATATCAGGTGGCTTTAAGGGGCTCAGACCCAGCCCCAAATGGTTTTCTGTAACTTCAACTATTTAGCAATATCCTAATTTTTTTCCAGCATGACATTTGCAAGTTTAATTAAATTGCAGATCAAAGGTAAACTTTACATATATGTGTATATATAGTCGATTGCAGATAAGTAGTTTAGATTTTTCCTTAAATTATTACAGTAACAAAGTGCCACAATTAAATTCATAGGCTGTTTAGGTGAGAAATGAGATACCTTGTGAACTGTTTCTAGTAACAATGCTGTGATTCAGCATACCAAAGTTCCCTAGTACAAAGCAGCCTGTGAAGTAGATCTGTCTCATCCGCTAAGTTCGTCTCAGATTTTGATCCTAGCAGAACAGTGATGGTCGTTATCCTACACCACTGCTTTCTTCCTCATGCCAAACTCCCAAAGCTTGGAATTAGCTTTCTAAGTCCATTTGGGCTTTTATAGCTAAAGGAGTAGTTTGCTTTTACCGGGGGCTATGTAAACACTAAACAAATTGTAAACACACATTTTTTATGTAAACACATAAACAATTTCGACCTCGCCCCCAGAGGATCTTCTCAGTTTTTAAAGAATGGTAGCCATTAAGTAGGGAATTTGATACCTAACTTGGAAAAATGAGGATGAAACAAACAGCATTTTCCTCTTTTCTGTTGTTCCCTGAAACTGTGATCACAGTTGCTGCGTGATTGTTTTGGGATGGAATTTTCCCATTATGCTGAAGACTGCTTCTGTCAATGAATTTTAGTGTGTTTGTACCTTAGACTGCAGTTACCTTTTTCTATGGGAAGTGCCATATTCCATAATGGTTTTTATATGGGATTTGATGTCATTTTGGGCTCCTTCCCTTAATCACAGGCATTGAAGTTTGCATCCATTTACTGCTTTTTGTAAACCTATTCGTGTCCTTCTCTGTCCTTTTGCTCTCCCCACTTGTCTGCACCTTTTGCAATTCCAGTTCCACAATCTAGGAAGTTTTTCAGCTGAGCTTTGTGTGTCCCAGGCACGAGCGACAGTGGCTTCCCTGGTCACTGTTCCCTTCATGCTCATGCCTCTGGGCTGACTTGAGATTTGTCTTGCAGACACTGCTTTGCCAACTCACTCGGTTTGCAGTTCCCTGGGCTCCTTTTGGGGTTTGCAGTGCCCTGGGCTCCTTTTGGGGTTTGCAGTGCCCTGGGATCCTTTGGGGGTTTGCAGTTCCCTGGGCTCCTTTTGGGGTTTGCAGTGCCCTGGGCTCCTGTGGGGGTTTGTAGTGCCAGGATCCCTTGGGATCTTCTTGTCAGTGTTGCTGACGGCAGTTATTCCATATGGATTTGTGAGTGGAGTTGGTCTTTATAACTTCAGTCAGTTGATGAAAATCACTTTGCACTGATGAATGGTTTGTCGAAATCCCTTTGATTCCATCTCCAGGACTATGTTAACCCTTGTCACCTGCACCGCTTCAGCGTCTTCGTTAATTGTTAAGGAAAATCCTGACTAGGGCCGGAGAATAGGCTCCTCCAGTAGTGGAACTGAGCTAACCACTGACTCTCAGGAGTGAGAGCCTGGGGTCTGAGTGGATGATTCAGTGAAAGTGTTCGCCCCCAGAAGCACGTGGAGTGTAAGCAAAGGTTATCAGGAATGGACTGAGACCTAATGGGCAAAGTTACGTGTGATTGTGTAAATCACCCCTGTTTTGGTGGGTGTGCCGTGTAGTTCTGCCCCTTCCTTTCCTGGTGGGGTGTAGTAGTGCTGGAGAAGGTACAGAAAAGGGATATAAAAGTATGCAATGTCTCATGCACAAGAACAACTGCACAGCCCAGGGAAGGAAGGGAGATGAGTGTGTGGAATGTCATAACCTCTGTACAGTTATTTGTAGCATGCCGTGCTGCCAGACAGGTACGAGCTGAGGGATGGCAAGCTTGAAATGGGCAAAAGGAGGTGGCACGTCAGTGTTTCATTAGCCTGTAGTACTGCGTGATGTAGGACGTTGCAGATTAAGTGTATGCAAGTTAGAGATCTACGACATGAGCAAGGAGATTCAGCTACTAAGTACAGGGCCACTGCCTTTGGTTCCGAGAAGTGCAGCTGCAGATATCTGTAATCCCAGTTTTAGGGAAATACTGCTTGGTTTGCCTTGGTTTTTCCTTTCTCCTCAGGTTTTCACTCTGGCCCCTTGTTAGGAACAGGGTGGGTTCAGTGGATCTTGTGCTCCGACGTGGCGGTTCTCGTGCTGGGCTGGGGTCCTGTAAAAAACTGACTTCGGTACGGCCAAGCCTCTGCACAGGGAGTGGTGGCACCAACTCTGGATTGTCCCAGGGACAATTGTTTTGTAGAAATTGCTGTACAAAGAGCTTCTTCGAAGTACAGGTTTTGGCCCAGCATTAGGAATTGTGTATGGGCACTTGCCCTTGGAGTGTGGCGGGTTTCTGTAGTGCTGTGCAACAGCATAACTGCGCCCTCCGCTCCCCCGCACTGGTCACGGCACTCTGCGGCGTTTCAGCCTTCCCGGTCTCTTCTGTGCTGCCGTGTTTGCTCAGGAGCTCGGTGCGGTACACCTGAACGCCTCACCCGAAGGGCAGACAGCGTTTTCTTGCTGGCTGTTTGTTGTACTGGTCTGTGGGTGTAGGGTTTCTCTGATACCGACTAAGACTGGTCTGGCGTTTGGTTAATAGGTCAGTTCTTCTCTTGAGAAGTTGCTGAATTCTTCTCGAAATGAAGAAGATAACTATGTTTTCTGTGGGTGGGGGACAGCTTGGGCTGGTAACACCCTTTAATACCAGGTGTGTTCAGAAGAGGAGGGCCTTAGGAAGGCAGTGAGAAAGCACTCTGAAACAGTCATTCCTGTTGTAGCACTGACACTGGATGAAGAAGTAGCTTTCCATTGCACAAAGTTTGGTTCAGTAAATCTCCATAATTACTGAACTTAAGAAAATTGCATGACACGGGACAGCTAGCTTCAGATGGAGAAATCCCAACTCTGCCTGTTGAGTGAAGGACAGCTGCTTCCTCTTCACACAGTACCTTGAAACTTGAACATTTCAATTGTTGCTGTTTCTGAAGTGGAATCACTGTGATTGACCATCTTCAAGTCCGCGTTTGAAGCCCAGGTGGGTGGGTTAGCATTTGGCGGTTTCCTAACACGGTTGGCTTAGGTGTAGGGTGAACCAATGGGAACTGTGTTACCCAGGATGGCCACGGGAAAAATATGTGTCGTGTTCGATCCTTCCATCTGCAAACTGGGGCTGGTGGAACCGCCTGTGCCTCGGAGGGGCCTGGCGTGACCTTCTGCTGGTTCGGAGGTTCCTGTAAAAGCAACAGCCATGCTCAGGGACTGGAACCAACTTCAAAACCTGCTCTGCCTCCTGCGCGGGAATGTGTGGTGGTGGCATCCACCTGAGAGTTGAAGAAGATTTGGAAGCACATGCCCTGCAGGGCCGCAGCTCACGGGTGGCTTTGGGGAGCCAGCACTGCCCGCAGGGTGGCGCAGGGCAAGGTCAGCACCCAGTCTGCAGGCTCCAGCCCTGCTAGCGTCGGGTGAGCCCCCTGCAAAAAGGGCAGACCTGCAGCTTAGAAGGTCCTGTAACCAACCCCTCTCCCTAGGTTCTGTTTGAAATAAGGACGTATGTTTATACTGTTTTATTTTAAATGCAGGTGAACCAAGGAAATTTGACCCCAAGTTCAGAGGACCTATTCATAACAGGTAAATATCCCAGCTCGGTCTGTTTCAGTCCTTTGGGTTTGCAGTAAACAGGATCAGAATGTTGTGAGTGGCAAAACGCTCGTTTTTACCGTTATTGCATGAGACAGCAAAGCCTGGGCTTGCACTGCGGCTGCTGGTGACTGCTGTGGCACCTGCTGCAATTCCAGGTGTGTACATGTGCTGTTCTAGTTGTAGATTCCACATCAATGCCTTAAAAACACACCCAGATGAGCGCAGCGCGTCACTCCTATAGCACGTTTGGTGATCGTCTCTGGTGAGACAGTGCTGTTGGCTTCATGGAGCAGCCGGCGGGGCGGCAGCGGTACCTGCACTGGTGCTTCCTGAGTACGCGTGTTAGCTCGCGTGCTCGCTTAGCTCGTTTGTTCATGTGTTCGTTAGTGAGCGGGGGGTTGGGGGGCTTTCCCAGCCCTGCTGTTGCTGATGGGGTTCACTCACACCCTGCTGCCATTGCTCTCAGGCGCAGCTCTAGGGCTCCGGCTCTTGGGCTCTCTGGCTCTGACTCTCGCTGCTTGGGACCGGGCTGTGCATCAGTCAGTGGGTGAAACTCACCCTGCGAACATCCTGAGCCTCTTCTTTCTCCAGGCTTGCACAGCGCGGGCTCAAGACTTCGTAGATGCCAATACACTGCGAGTGCTCTTGAGCTAATAAACCTCGTCCTTTCTTGCTAGTGCAGCATCTCGAGCAAAATGGCACTTGTGATGGATCGGGCGTGAACCTGCCCAACGGAGAGGGGTTCAGTGGGTCATTAACGACCGAGTGCATGAACCGTCAGGGAATAAATGGCTTTTCTGCACCAATACTCTGTAGATGATTCTATCTTTGCGTTCATTTATTCGCCAGGGTACCACTGCACATGCGCGAAGTGGTGTTGGCCTGTGCTGCCATGCGTCACATGGCAAGAGAAGCCAAGGGACCGGGGTGTTTCTGGGAGATTGTGGAAGGCAGATCAGGCTCTGAATGGCATGCGCGAAGTGGTGTTGGCCTGCGCTGCCATGCGTCACACGGCAAGAGAAGCCAAGGGGCCGGGGTGTTTCTGGGAGATCGTGGAAGGCAGATCAGGCTCTGAATGAAGCTCAATGACAGCAGTAAGCACTAAATGTGATGTGGGAGCCTGAACTGTGCACTCAAGCAAATGAAAATCTGTCATTACGTCACCTGAAAATGATGGAGCTGATGATTTTATCAGCAGTTTATCTTGATGGCAACTCTAGTGTGCACGTACAGAGACTCACTGGGTTTGGTTCAGATCACGGAACTGGTTTTCTAAAAAGTACCCAAAACCATCAGAATTTCCAGTAGCGGCTGTTAGCAAAAGCACTTTCAGTGTTTTCATCGTTTGTACCATAAGAAATGTGGAGTGCTTTGCTCCTGAGCCTGCGCGTGTTCATGCATCATGGCTACATGGACAGGTACGACAGCGCTGTCTGTAGGAGCCTATAGAGCCTGTATGGGAAACGGCAGTCTCCCTTGCGCTCATGATCCCATTCCCATTCATCTGTCTTCCTTAGTGCCCAGTTTAACGGCTAAGTCCCCTGAGGGGTTTGGTTCCGCCTCATTAGCCTGGAACAAACTGGAAAAGCGCATTTGCCATACCAGGTTGGCGCCTTAGTTAGCAACAGCTCCTATCAATCTGGTTTCTGTCAAAGCATGGCTGGGTAGTTTCTCATTAGGTTTCACTAACGAGCATGGGCCTCCGGTACCTCCTGTTTAGGAAGAAGCAATTCCCATCACTGGAGTTCCTGCAACTTTGGGAACTCCCGTAATCGTCACAGTCTGTGGTGGCAGAGCTGCCGTCATCCATTCTGGAAGAGGTTTACGTTCCTCCTCTCCCGTGGAGCCTGATGCTCGTGGGGAACGCTGACCTCGCCGCAGTGAGCTGCTCCAGCTAGCAGCGCGGTGCAATGCAGGCAGGGTTTCACCCCTGCTGTCTCGTAAAACAGGATTATTCTGTATGAGTAACAGATAGTCTGTGTGAGCGGCTTCAGCGTTTCCTGAAGCCACCCAGAAGGGGGCTTATCTACTTCCTATAGATTCTTCAAATATGTGTGTGACAGCAGCAGGTAGTTTTCCTACGTTCTAGGCAGAAGTCTGTATTACAAAATCCAGAGCATCCTGCCTTCTGGTGAAGTGCCCATGGGTGCCTGTTCGGGTGGCTCTGCAGGACTTCGCAGGGGAGCTTTGGCACAGACGAGGATAACCTTTCACTGCCTTCAGGTATGGTAGAATGAGACCTGTGGAAATAGGACTGGGAGAAGCTTTTGAGACTATAGGAGTTGCAGTTGCAGTATTTACGGTGCCATATTTCTCTTGAGACCTACTGAGTTAAATATTGTACCTCTTAAAAACGGCTCTGATAGGGTGAGAGCCGAGCTGGAGCGGGAGCATGAGCGGCACCGCTTCACCTCGCTGCTGAGCAGTTGGCCTCAGACTGCTGTGTGCTGACCGTGAATCTCACTGAAGATTTATCTCAGTGAGGTGCTGGAACTGTGCCTCTCTACAGAAGGGGACAGGATTTTTCATTCCCTTTCCACACATGGAAACACTGCTGAAGTTCTCCAACTGCTAAAGATCTGCCACCTTTATCTTCCTTATGCTAAAGAGCAGCAGGTCTGTGTAAGAGGATACAGATTGGAAGGAATGGTTGGTGCCAGAAATGACGTGAGTCGGTTGGAGTTTGGATGCCAAGATTTTTAGTGATGAAATTCATCTGGGATCCCCTTGGCTCCTTGCACGGACTCGCAAGCAAAGGTGAACATGGCCCTTTATAGAAGTTAGTCCTGTCTTTTACCTGGTGGAAGCTCGTGTTGGCTTTCCCGGGGTCGTTACGGTTGCTCAGGTCAGAGCAGCAGCAGTTTGTTACTGCCCAAACAGGCGATTACAGCTCATGCACCTCTGGGTTATACAGCCCGTTCTTCACGCAGACTGTCGGCTACGCAGGACATGGTAAATCACAAAGGCGAGTGACCTCCCTTGGGGAAGGAGGCTCCAGGCAGCACCCTTTAAGCAGCATCTTGCTCCTCTGTTACCTCCTGGCGAGGCCGTTGGCTGCACATGTTTCTTAATCAGCGAGGCTGCCAAGGGCTGTGAGACCACCACGGTTTTACTTCCATCCATCTTCAGAGATCAGGGCTTGTGAAGTTGGCTTGCTGGGGAGAGAACTGCTCGCCCCAGCGAAGCCCTCAGAGCCTCCTGTCTCCCTAAGGGCTTTGCTGCCCTTCTGCTTGCCTGGGAGTGGGGTGCCTCACGTTCCTGACCCTCCTGGGACTGCTCTGATCAAGGTCAGGCACTGGAGAAAAATGAGTCCAGTGATCCACACGTCTGCTCCTCTGCCTGCATGGATAATACTCACAGGTTGCTTGCTGGCTGTTTCCAGACTGGAGAGTGCTGGTCTTTGGGTGCTGGTCTGTAACGAGGTGTGGCTCTCCACAGTACACTGGGGGTTTTGTCGTCTCCGTGTTTTCGTTGCATTAAATGAGGTGAAGCGGCTGAGTCAGAACTCTGTGCAGAGATGGGGGGTAGTTGCACGTAGGGTTTTCTCATTTCAGGCTGTTACTTTTCCATTCATAAGCTGTTTATAAAGTTGTGCTGAATCTTTCGCCCCATTGTGGGCAGTATTTGATACTTGCTTTAGGGACACCCTGCAGTACCTTACACCGTAAGTGATCTCATGGGTTCAGTGTTGGAAGGTGTCATTTGTTCTCACAGGATTTACACTCGTTCCTCAGTGTGTTTCTGTTGCTGTCTGCAGTGCAATATGCACACGCGTGGCTTTGCTGGCCTTGCTGCGGAAGCAGGGCCTCGCACCGCCACGTCAGCTTGTAGGACTTGTGCTAAGTGCAGGAGCAGACACCGTGCTCAGATGTTCCGACAACAGTGCTTTTGAAGGGCCATATGAGACACCCCATTGTTTACAAATGTTCCTTTCTGTCCCCAGGCACTGTACAGACACTGTCTGCTGTGTGATCTTCATCGTCGTCATTCTGGGTTACATTGCATTAGGGATTGTGGGTAAGTAAACTCCGGTGGAGTGGTGCTTTCTCATACACCAGGGAAGCAACCTTGGGAATGTTGAAATTTTTAACTGAGATGTACCTTTTGCTTACACCTATGCAAGGCTTTCCAGGCTTTCCAGGCTACTGGACAGGGGGAAGGGAGAGCATTGGTCGTTTCTAGCTGAGCAGTGTTCTTGTGCTGCCAGGTCTTCTCTCTCTCTCCAGCACTGTATAAATCTCCGTAATGTTTTGGCTGGAGCTTTGCCAACTCTGAACTTGCAGTTCCCTGAGAACCCCCACGCTGGATGTTGCAGAAACAGACAGCAAGAGAAGAGGACTGGCCGGTTCCTCGCTTCTCCGTGTCTGTCACCTCAGCCAGCGTAGTTACTGTGCTGTGACACAGGGAATGGCCATGTTCCCGGCTCTGCACAGGTGGAGGTTCCTGCTGGACACCACAGCCAAGCAGCCTTCTCTTGCAACCCCTGTGAAACGCTGAACTGGGACCTGTTCCTGCAGCGAGATACCAAATTTGTAGTTAATGACTTTTTCTGCCTTTCTTCCAGAGATTTGAACTGTCAGTCTAGAAACATTTAGCTCAGCTCCGAACCCGGATCCACATGGTCCCTGCTTTTCATCCTCCTTCTGCTGTGCCTCAGCTGTTCTTTCCCTCTAATTTATTCTGAGTAAACGCTGAGATCAGCTTTGGTTCAGTTCCAGGGGCCAGCCCTGGACAAAACATGCTGGCGTCAAAGACGGTAAAAGAAACCAGATCATAAAGCGATCCCTAGTCATGAATGGTGCCTTATTAGGGAAAAGTAGTTTTCCACAGTTTCTTGAATGCCTGTGGTACCACCCTGGGTCCCTGTTTAACTGTCTGGAGAAGGAAGCGGTAAAGGCAGGCTCATCACACAATGCTGTGGCTGGAAATCTGGGCCAAATCTTGCCCTCGGTAATGTTTGTAGAGCTCCCACGGGCTTCGGGTGCTGCGTGTTTGTGAAACACTGGCATAGGGTTTTATGTGTCTGGGTGGCTGACACGTAGTCTGAGGAAAAGGTGATCAGTTCCCCTTGAAAAATGACACCCAGTGACTTCTGGTACCAGGCTTTCTTGGTCCCGCTGCAGTGACGGCCGCTGCCAGCGAGTGTGCTCAACTGAGATCCTCACTCCCTGACTTCCTTCAGCTTCACAGGTGAACTGACACTGCTCATTCAACAGTCCGCGGGGTGTTCCTTCCTATCAGACCGACCTCCCTCTCCCTGTTTACTTCAGAGACAATGGGCTTCTCCGGGTGACACGTCACAAATGTTTAGCCTCTTAATTTAAGATCATTTTGATTCAGAAAAGTGCACATAAAAGGCAGCAAATAAGTTATCTTGGAAAAAAGCCTGACATTCCAAAGGACAGGTTAATTGGAAGTAATAACACATGTAGCATTGTTCTAGGGGATGCTTACACAGCACCGCTGTCACCAGCATGGATTTACAGATTCCCTGTGGGATGTCTGTTACCCGTCCCAGCACCGCAGTGATGTCCCTGTGTTACAGGCTGTAAGAGCAGGCTGGCAGGTCAAGTTCTCTGCAGTTCAAAGCGTTAAAAACCTACCTGTAAAGGCAGCAGAGTACTGCCAGGACAGACTGCCCTTTCAGAAACACACAGTAAGGGATTGAGCACGACCAGATGGGCGGTTCGTCGCTAAGGACCATGGTATGCTGGTGTTACCATCCTGGTTTTTCCGTGGCAGCGAGCTTTCCCGCCCTTACAGCCACCAACGGCCCATAGAGCCGGAACAGGCCAGACAAGCTGGGCGTTTCTCACGCAGATTCCTTCACTGTCATTGCTCTGTTTGCAAGAAGAAGGTGACAGAGGATGAAGTTGATGAATTGGGGTGGTTTGCCCTGGCACAGGCACTGAAAGGAGCTGCAGAACTCTCTCCTCTGTTGGTCGTTTCCCTTCTCTCTCTGCTGCAGGGTTTGTTAAACGCTACATGTGGATATTGTAAATCAGGCCAGATTATTTTCTGTTTGACTTTGGAATGTAGCTGAGGGGCATCTTCATCCATCCACCCAGCAGCTGATCCTGGAGATGGAATTTCACAGTGTGCTAAACCTGGTTTTAAAATCAGACCCTTTTTAATGCTCTTTTATTAAAACCGTAACCGAGGCCTTAGGCACAGGGGAAAACTACTGCCAGGCCGGAATGGTTTTGGACAACTTGATAATCAGAGTCGTTTGGGTTGGAAAATCCCTTTAAGCCCATCCAGCCCTACCATTAACCCAGCACTGTGAAGGCCACCACTAACCCCGTCCCTCAGCGCCCTCTGGTCACTGAAGACGTTGTGCATCCACCCAAGCACCTCACCAAGTTCAGTCTGCGCTCTGTGCTCTCCCGCAGGTTCTGTGCCGCTGCCGGGGTCGTTGTTAAGCACAGTCGTTCTTGCCAGAGTGACTTTGAGGGAGAGTTTCACAGAGGAGGAAATACAGCGCCCCAGGGTGGAGTGAAGGTGGGGTGATTACGGAGGAGCCAGTCCAAGGTGGTTTGCTTATACTGAAGCCCACAGCGTATGCTCAGGGGTCTCCTGCCATTCCGTATGGAGTGCAGGAGGGGCAGGGTTGGGGCTAAAATCCTTTTAAAACAGTAATATTTTCCCATAGTACAGGCACAAGGAAGTATGTGGGAGGACATCAGTGTCTTCTGGTAGTTCTCCAGCAACCCAGTTTTGGGGTGTCAGTGCAGAGTAGTGGTACGGAATTCTATTCCAGCATTGTATGAAAGAAATGAAATTCCCATGACTGAGGGTCAGATCAGCAGTTAGTTGGGACGGTTCAAAGGCGAGTGACTGGCAGCAGCTCTGCCCGCTGCAGCCTAGAAATAGCACTACTGATAGTGGTAGCTGCTGGGCACTTGCTCCTCAGAAGGAAATAATGTTGTGGGTGAAAAAGGCTTGTAGAGGAAACCCTGCTTGGAAGTGGAGAAAAGCAGTTTGAAAGTTCAGTATGAAGCGCTCTTCCCGCCCGGCCTGGGGTTCCTGCAGCGTGTGAAGCCTGAGCTGGGTGCAGGCCTGGCAGCTGAGAGCGGTACAGCCACCACCGGAGAGGCCAGGAAAAGTTTCCCTTTCAGGAGTGAGAGTTTGTTTCCCTCTTAGTGCAGACGGAGCCCGTTGGATCCAGTCCCACCCTGTGTATTTCTGTCGCACGCCCAGGCAATTCCCATCATTGCACTGCCATTTTGCTTGTCTGGGAATGCTCAGAGTTTTTACATCGTTAGCTCCCCGTCTTCCCCCTTTTAATAACCGTTCTTTAAGTCCATTGCATCAGGTTTGGGGTCCAACCCAGATGTATGTGCCCTAATGATAAAGGGGAACCGGTTTGCTCTCCCACCAATCCGTCCAGTTCAGTTTTGCATCGTCGGTGCTGTAGGAAACCCACGGATCAGTACCCTTCCGTGGGTCAGCAGCGGCTGAGGTGGTACCTCGGACATGGCACGTGTTCTGCTAATCAGTCTCCGCTGTTAACTGCTCGCTTGGCTCAGATGTTCAGAGATGTGTGTGTCTTTTCAGCTTGGGTGCACGGTGACCCCAGGAAAGTGATTTACCCGACCGACAGCTATGGGCAGTTCTGTGGCCAGAAAGACACCCGCAACGAGTGAGTACTGAACCTGTTCACGTGCCTTTGTTACTCGCACGCTGTGAGTAAGATGTGAGCTTTCAGACCTGTGTCTGCCCCGGGCCTTGGGGGTGGTGGAAGGGACGATGACACTCTTACTGTATTTGTTCCGAATGAAGTTCAGAAATAGGTAGTTGCTCAGTGCAAATCTAGACCCAGGTTGTTACCGCAGCACGGGTGTTTGCATCATTCGGAGATGTTTGGTGAAGTATCAGCGGAGTGTAGAGGTTGCCCCACTGGTTGCACTGGAGGTGGCTTTGGCACAGCTCCTGACTGCCTGAGTTTGGACAGGTAATAGCCCGTCGAGTCATTCCAGTGTCCATCCCGGGCTAAGAGCAGTCCTAAAGCCTTGTAGGCTGGCGCTCAGTTCTTCTCAACATGCACCAAATAACAGCAAAAACCCACTGGGAAAAGCCCTTGTTTGTCTCTGGGGCTGGTAGGGAGGAGGCCGGGCTGGGAGGCAGCTGTAGCTGTCCCGTCCTCGGGGTATCGGCCGAACGGCTCTAGCTGCTTGGTTTCCCAGCCTTTTTAACTTTGGAATTGTGAGAATTAAATGAATTTGTTGATACCAACAGATTACTTCTACAGGAAAAGAGCTGCTCAGGAAAGGAAGGTGTCACATCAGTGTTTTCCCTAAAGTTCCAGGTGGTTTATGAAACAGAATTTGGAAAATGGGTTACTTTCTCCCTTGCTTTCTCCCTTTTATGGCCAGATGCCCTTATGCCCTTGACACTGTCAGGGAGCTGGATGCTGTGCAGGAAGCAAACCAGGAGCTGGTGTTTGATAACTGCTCTTTGCTGCTGCTTTCTTTGCCCATTTAGTCTTCCAGGAAAAACTTGAGGAAGCCACTGTCCAGAGGGCAGTTCAG